AAAAGAAAAGTCTTTTTTCCCCCTTCCCTCCCTTGTCTACATTTCTGTCTCTGGCTCTCTTTCCCCTCTGTCTCTATGTTTTTCAGATCCAATCTTTTCAGAGCTGCAAGCACATTGCTAAGCTAAAGGGAAATTCTCTTTGATAAAGCGGTGTTTCCAGCTTCGGGGTTTTAAAACCTAAATCTATATTCAAATCTGGCTGAAGGTGTGTTCTGGGATTTATGAAAGCCTCTTAAAGGGGTAAATTTACCAAACCGTGACAAAATCATCACAATCTTACTTTAGACATCTGAAGTGGATGAGAATTTTAAAGAGACCCTTGTTTATTTAACACTGTCCATTTCCAACTGGTGGTTTATTGGCCCTGTATTTCTGCGAAGTTATTAGACTAGAGGGCAAGGGAAAAGCGGGGGTTGTGTGCTGCCAGCCGCTAAAGGGGAAAGCCCTCCCACGCTGAATCCAGCTGAAATCCTCTGTCGAGAGCACTCCGGAATTTTCAAGGAGGTTCGGCTGCTTTGGGTCGTCTCAGACGACAGCCCAAACCTTTGCTTGGGACTTGAGGTGTTCACAGGTCTCTGGACCCTACTGCAGATGGATCTCTCTCCGATTTTTTTTCACTTACTTGGAGAGACTAACAAGCTCTCCCATTTCTTTATCGCACCCCACCTCCACTGTCCCCGAGGCCTTGCTCTGCCACATCCACAAGGTTCATTTTTGTTTTTCACCCTTTGATGCTTTCTACATCGTTATGACCAAATTGGGAATAACTCTTTTCTCAGGATGGGAAATAAACTCTTCTCCAAGAGATTCGGCGAACTTGCCCTTCTGTCATCCAAAGCACGGTGACTCGGACTGAGAGCCAGGACCAGCCTTCCCATAGCCCGCGCGACGCGAGTCAACCGCCTGGGACATTCTCCCTCCTAAAGGAAGAGCCTTAGGGACAGTCGCCAGGTGTTTCAACACAGTGGGGGCGGGGTAGCAGAAAGGTCCGTACTCAACACTCCCCACCCCCGCTCCCAGCATAGGCCCCCACAAAGTCGTGACTCCAGGGTACGCCGCAGTCAGGAGTTTTCTTCATAGCGGAGCTGCTACGGAGGAGCCAGGAGTACTGGACAGGCCCGTGAGCTCTCCGAGGTTCGTGGAGCCGCCAAGACCCAAAGCTCTTAAGACACACCTGCAAGTCTGCAGCAGCAGCGGAGTGACCAGCCTAAGGCCGAGCCGGAGTCGAGCCTAGCCGGGCTGCCGAGAGCTTGCAGCCTCGTGCGCACTCCCGTAATTCGCTAATTGCTGTAAATCCCAAGGACAGCCACATTTGATTACACATACAGTATAAGAACCGACAACAAAGCGACGAATTAATTACCGACTTCATTAACATAGGTCCCCAAATTAAAGGCAACGAGCTGTTTCTTTGGGCCCACTAGCAGTGGTGTCGACGGTGATTGAGGAAGTAAGGGGGTGCTGGGGATTATGGTGGTTGTTGTGTGTGTGGTTTTGGTCCCCCCCCCCCTTCAGCGTTGGGAGTTGTGAGGGAAAAGCTGTCTTCCCCAATCACTCCCACGCCTATCCTCCATTCACACACATTCAGCAAGCAGTTGCGTTTGCCCCCCATCCCCTAGTACTCCGTCCGATCTCTTTCTGCTCTAAAACTCAGTGAAAGCTGTCCGGTCCTCGATCTGAACCTGACAAATTGAGCTTGTTTCCTGGTCCTGAAGCATCCCAGCTCCCGGGTTTCGGCCTCAGGCTCGGGCGGCTCCATCCCTGTTTGCTCCAGGCCCTATAGCATCAGGAATTTGTTCTTATGTAGAAACTGTTTCCACAGGGGGCTTTTGCCACCCTGCATTCACGCCCGAGAGATTTGAGATAGCCCCTCCTTGGCCCAAAACCAGCCCCGGGGGTAGATTTGGGAGTTCACGGATTCCCCCCCCCCCCCTTCTTGTTCTGGGCTTCTCACACTGAAAAATCAAGCGCGGAAACCCAGCGTTCAGAGACTAGGAGTTACTCGTAAGGGGTTGAAGAGCAGCGAGGACGCTGAGGTTTTCAAATAATTAGTTCACAGCCTTGTGAATTTATCTCTCTCTTCACTGCATGTCCACACCTCAGTCCTGGCTTTCTTCCTTCACTGACTACTCTCAGCGCCGTCTGGCCCTGTTAAAGGGGACATGGTCGTGTTTTTAAGCGTGAGTCTGGGTTTGAGTTCTGCCTGACCCACACATTCTTTGCGAATGTTGGAATCGAAAACCCAGTTATTCCCCCCTCCCACTCTTCTCCAGCTTTGATTTAAATATTTTCATTCTCCAGTCTTGTTTTGGTGTCCTTTCCCTAACATAAAAAACAAAAAAGGAGAGGACAAGAAAGGGGTGTGAAGGAAAAAGAAAAGACCGAAGGGGGAGGCCTTCCTGTCCATCATTTTAATTATACAATTAGTTCACATGCTCCGGCCCATAATGTATATTTTAAGCGAAGCCCAGTGTTTCTAAGAACATTCTGGTAGTGTCGGAGGCCTGGATTTGTTGCCTGCCCTTTCCCCGGTGCAGCAGCGGCCTGTTTTCCTCCCCCTGTTGTGTGTTTTTATTATTTTCCCTCTGGCTTAGATGTGTCAATCATTCTCTCCCTGCCATTGGTTGGAGAGTTTGCGTCAAAAAGTTGCCAGAGAGGCGCTTTCTCAGCAAATCTCCTTGAGAGCGGAACCTTGCTCAGCTCCAACTCAGCCTGCACTGTTATTAAAAATAAAAATCGCTAGAGCAATCTGGTGGCCACATCTGCTTTGTATGTATCGTCGACGGACACAGATGGTTTACAACCCTGGCCACTTCATTTTCTGTTCTCTAAAAAAAAGGGATTTTTTTTCTTTTTGCTTATGTTTGACTTTTTGTGGAAGGGTGAAGACTACAAGGTTTTTTTGTTTGTTTGTTTCTTTATTTTGTTTTGTTTTTTAACTGAATACTCTTGATTTCTTTTAGGATAACTGGCTGTTTGGAATCTTGAAGGATATTTTTTTTTTCTTTTCTAACCTCCAATGCGGCTGTAAGGTAAGTGTCTGTCTGTCTTGTCTATGGCGATATCTTTGTGTTCCCCAGTCTGCAGTGACCCACGCACCTCCAATAGACGTTCTCGTGCAACTCTGTGGACGTGGAGCTCCTCTGGGACTGATGTATTTTTTTTTTCCTAGTGAGAATTTTGAGGCGAAATAATGACCATTAGGAAAATTAAACGATCTGTGGAAAAGGGCGGGAGTGGGAGGGAGCGAGAGCGCGTGCTCCTGGGGGTCGCCGCTGCGGCGAACGTCCTGGAAATCTTACGAGTCTAATCTGGGGTGTTGGGGAGGGGTTTTGTTCTTATGCTCACCCTATTCATGGCTTCTCCTCGCGAGCTTTGTATTTGGGCCCCTAGGTTTAGCTGGAGTCCTTAGGCTTGATCCCAAGGACGTGTTTAGTGTCTGTGACAAAAAAAAAAAAAAATGTTTGTGCACGTACCTAGGTTTGTAAATTCAAACAATGATAATAAACTGGGGAGGGGGGCTTCCGAAGGCCTGTGCGCCGGAAGCCCGGCTCTCCGTCAGTGGGCTGGGACCGCGCGGGTTGCCTCTCGAGCCCCCCGCTTTGCAACGGGAGCCGAAACCCAAGCTGATGACCGAGGAGGCGCAATTGCCGACGTCTGGTTACTCCTGCGCCGCCTGGTCTCCCTTTTTCGTCTTCTCTCTCTAGCCTAGAGCAGTTCTGCGACCCACCTCGTCTCAAAGCTTCTCGAGCTCCTCAGTTTACATCACGCCCTCCGCATCCCTAGGGGTGTAGTTCCCCCACCCCTGGCGCTGCTCGCGGTGGTCGCAGTCCCGGGGACAGATCACCAGGGCGAGGCCGCTAGTGAGACGGGTTTAAATGCGACTTTGCTCAGGGCACGCGCGCGCCGCAGCCTCCGCGCGCACTTGGGGTGGTCAGAAGTAGGGGTGAACGCCTGGCTGCTCCCGGTCAGGAACTCCGGAATTCCTCCTTTGGGACTGGGGCTTTTCAGTCGTTCTGGGTCTGGGGGGTATAGCATCGAGGCCCCCTGCGCATTCATGTACTGCCTTCTCAGGCTCGGGGACAATGACGTGTCGTGGGTCAAGGCCTGACTAGGAACCATCAGAAGGTCCTCTCTAACATTGGGCCTGGGCGATGACGGGTCGCGCTGCAAACTCCGAAGAAGAGGCGGTGTTGGTGCGTTCAAGTGATTATTGTGAGCCAGTGTCCGATTTCACACGTTTTTCTGGAAACCCTAGAGCCCCGATCCGAATTTGTACTTTACAGAGAGAAGAGGTGTCGTTGAGAGAAGGCCCAGCAGCGTGGACCTGAGGTGGTACACCACTTAGGGAGGGGACCGGGAGAGGAGTTGCTCTCGCGTTGAAAGGATGTCCTCCATCCCAGGGCTCTGAGGGTCAGGATTTCGCCTGTTCACCTCGACTTTTTCCCGGTCATCAAAAGTTATTAGCACAAGGGTAGAGTTGTGCAAACTCCTCCAAAGTAAGGCCTCCCCTTCCAGACCTAGCATCCAGGCTTCTCCAAACTATAATTAATAGTCAAGACCAACCCTTTTGGCACATTTCTTTCTCCCTCCCTCGCGGGTGGTGGAGTTGATTCCCTGAGGCCAGAAACTTTCACTCGAGTTAGCGGGGCAGAGGCCAGCGCCGGCTGTTTTCCAAGTGCCCGCGTACCTCTTTTCTCTCTTCCTCCGGCTCTCGTCCTCTTCCCTGCTGCAGGCCAGTCGCCAGTCCACGTAGTTTTGTTTCCTCTCCATCATGCAGAAAATTAATCAGCCAGGACGAGAAGCAGAGCTGAGCACGACGGCCTGTAATTAAGGGACGTGTGCCCCTCGGATTATCTCGTTAGTTTATCAAGAAAACATTTATTATAATTAATTCTCGGACGAGGTAATTATTATTGAGCGAGAGCTAGGACACAGCAACTGGTAGATGGGCTTCTTGGAAGAAAAAAAAAAAAACACCAAGGAGGGGGGTTTGGAGGGGGAAGCGACAGATTGCACGAATTGACCGTTAGATATAAGGCTGCGCAGGCCAGTGCAGGCAGTGGAGGAGGGACCGTGGGTGTCTGGGCAGCTAGCTGATCTGCGGGCCTGCAGGGAAAGGACGCCGGACCCAGTCGCTTGCGCCTAGAGGTGAGGGCACTCGGGGACTTGACACGCTACCGCCGTTTCCTCCTAGGTATGAGCTCTCAGAAGCCACCTCTCTTCGAGAGCGGTCACATGAAGCCTTATGTCTTCGAAAGGGCATCCCCACCCCCTTTGTATTGTGCGTGGAGAGGAAGCTGGGTGAAATCCTTACCCGGCTGTGAAAGTTAGATGGAAGGGCCCTCAGCCTTCTTCTTCTGTCAGGGTTTATTATCTAGGCTATTTGGAGGAGTAAGTCCCTGTGGTTTGGGTCTCTCTTTTTTTTTCCCCCCTACGAGGAAAAATGAAAATAGGTTACCCCGAGATTTTTGAGCCATTTTAACTCTCCAAGAAGGATCTCTCCCCGAATGTTTTATTATTGTTCTTTATGGTGGAACATGTTGCATTTATCAAATGATGTTCTTAGGCATTTCTAAGGGTGAAAGCTAGACTAGTAAATACATTCCCCCATCTTAACATTAGATGTGGTTTTTAGTTCCGATAAAACAGTTCAGAACTTTTCAAGGGGGTAAGAATATATTGTCAAAGAACTCCCCTTCAGAGGTTATCTAAATAAGCAATGACTTTTTTAAAATATTGTTATTTTCACAGCCCCAAATAGGAGGATCTTGGGAGAAGGAATACAGAACCTAAAAAGAGCAACCAGTTTTACTAGTTAATAATCCAGTTTTTAAAAAAGGACGTTTAAAAAATCCACATCTTAGGGTGGGGAAAACATTACTTGTGTTCTGAATTTAAAGCAGGAAGTCGTCATTCATAGTTGTTGAGTTCTTTCTGAGAAACTTTTGCCTTGCTTGGTCTCTTAAGCAAGGTAAATATGAAAACCTACAATCCTTAATTTCATTAACAAAATTTCATTATGAAGGTGAAAGAAAACTCACAATCTTGTATCCGCCATTTTGAGGAAGTTTCTAAGAGTGTCAAAGTTTCCGAGCAAAGATCTTGGCAAGATAGGTGCCGAATTTTAAGATAATAAAAGCCAGCCTTGAATGCTGCCTGCCTATATTAACATAGCTCTGGGGGAGGGGACTCCACCGAGGAACAGAAAGAATTGTTTCTTTTCTTCCTCCAACCTCTTTTTGCTGTGTAATTATAGGAAATTTGGAAGGTAGAAAGAGTTCCTATTAGTTTCATGTTCATTAGTTAGATGCTTACCTACTTCAAACCTAAAATGTGGGAAAGACAGCTCCAGTAAACAGAAATCCGGGGCAGCCTTTGAGAACCCCAAGCCCCCAAAATCTGCCTCCCCCAGGATTTGCAGTCTCATCAAACCATCAAGGAAGCAACTTGCTCTGCAAATGCATTCCCCACTTGCAAAATGTGGGGGCCTGCCTTTTTTCTGATTGGTGGAATTCTAACTTCAACATTTCTGGCAAGTCCCTGTGCCAATCTTGAAGACTTTTTTTTCAATATGTTTAAATTAAATATTTGATGGGTGTCGCTTAAAAGTTAAATACTTGTTTGTTTAGCCATAGTTCTTTAGACACATATAATCAAGGTCCTACAAAACCCTAATAAATCTGTTACTTACCTCGAAATCTAATTATCCAGACTACTAATTAGGTGAAAATGATTACTGGAAATGACTTCAAATGTGGAATAATAGTGGTTGGGCAGTTTTCTCAAGTTTGTTGTTCAGCAAGTTTGTATTTTAAATGTTAAATGCATTTACATTTCAGTTTCACAGCAGTCGAAAGTGGTAATAAAAAAAAAGCTAAGATAATTAAAATCTCTGCCAGGGAAAGGCTACAGTCTGGGAAGAGGTAGATTTCTTGAATTGTTTCTTTGTTTCTCACCAATGGGCTTTGTTATCAGCATTATTTATTTAGCCAAAGAGTTCTTTGTCTCTGCAAATGGCCCCAATCAAGTTTTGTTTGAGACAATTAGCTAGTGCCAGCCAATGAGTCCTATGCAAATGTTGGGATAGGAATGTAATGTGTGCATTAGGAGGCGTGGGGTTTTGTTCTAGGGGAAGGCAGATTGTAATTGCTTTCCTCGGGTCTTTTTTTTTTTTTTAAGTTTAGGGTGGGGGTGGGGAAGACAGGTTTATCTGGTCTCGCTCCATCCCCTCTAGTTTTGGAGCTGCTGGAGGTTGAGGGGACGGCGGGGGGCGCATCTGCAAGTCCTTTAAAAGCCTGTGTCTAGCGTCACTCTGGCTCTCTTTAGTTAGTGATGGAACGTGGAGAAAGCTGCTCCCTCAGAAGCAGTAAACCAGCATCTCTGTTTGTGTGCTTGCTTTAACTTTAGTTCATCACTCCAAACCCACCCACCAAGGACACTGACCCTGTCCACTCCAGGCGAATCGCGACCGTCCGGCTGGGTTTCCCCAATTTGGGCCGACTTTGCGCCTCCAAACAACCTTAGCATGATGTCTTATCTAAAGCAACCGCCTTACGCAGTCAATGGGCTGAGTCTGACCACTTCGGGTATGGACTTGCTACATCCCTCAGTGGGCTACCCGGGTAAGTGAATTACACCGCATTCTCAACGCCCTTCCCCATCCTCGCCCCTCAGGAGCTCCGAGGTTGGAGGGCTCACTGCCCTCACCCTAGCTCCAGACGGGGTCCCCACCGTGTTTTTCTTGTCACGAAGTATCCTAGAGCCACTGGGCATTTACTGACCCAGGAGGGAACAAGAGGCTGGGAAGAGACGAGTCTGGGGTCTGCAGCAGTCACAGAAAATCACACCGCTCCATTCTTAATTAGAGTGGCTTGGGGAACACTCACTGGGCAGGGTCTTGGAAGGTTGTTGACCTTGTCACTTGAACATGCTTTCGCTAGTCTCCACGCCCAATTTCTAACTACTACCACCCTAAGAGTGTTCAAATTTTCTCCAGTACTGTCCTCTACAGTTCTCCGGCTTTGCCAGGGGCTTCCGGTGCCTCCAGGCCCGGCCCTTTAATCCTTAGAGGCGTGGCTTCCTTCCAGATTCTAGGCACCTTCCCCCACACCCCGCCATCACATCTCTCCCCCCCCCCACACCAAATACTCATAAAAGTCTGAACTATTGTTATATTTTAAAGATGCAAGGACAAAGGTCCTTGCGGTGCTAAAATACCGTGGGAACTGGCTGCACGTCCGCCCAGTCATTTCTATCTAGCCTCTGGTCCTTGCAAAGCCTCTTAACTTTACCAAACAGCCTTTTCTGTCGGTAGTGTGGTCTGGCTGCTTCCAAAAATGGGCATGGGGGTGGGAATTGTCTGTAGGTTTACTTTGTTAGCGCTATAGTAATGCTCTGTATTCCAAGGGGGACACTTGGGATGGGAGGTGGTGTGTCATGGGAGGTTCCGGAGGTGATGGGGATCCTCAGCAGGAACGCGGTGGGAGGTGGGGGAGTCGTGAACCGAGGCAAAAGTCCTGTGACTGAGAAACTGCTCCCCCACCCTAAAGGGCCCTGGGCTTCTTGTCCTGCAGCCACTCCCCGGAAACAGCGGCGGGAGAGGACTACATTCACCAGGGCACAACTTGACGTTTTGGAAGCTCTGTTTGCCAAGACCCGGTACCCAGACATTTTTATGCGGGAGGAGGTGGCGCTGAAAATCAACTTGCCCGAGTCCAGGGTACAGGTAGGAGAGATGTAGACACGCCCTCTCTAAAGTTTGGTGTATACTCGCTCTCCAACCAAAAAGGGCTTGAAATTCTAAACATTTTGGAGCCAATGAACCATTCTTCTGCTTTCTATCTCTCCTTAATCCTGTGAACCAGGGCTTCTGTCCTGGTTGCAAGGTTGAGTAGCAATTCAACTCCAGACACAAAGTACTAGAGTCTCTGGGTCTCAAGAGTCCCTGCAGGTGGAGATATCCAGTTGAGGGCAAATTTCAACGATAGTCACGTGGTCCTCTCCGTGAGCTTTGTGTGTGGGAAACGGGCGTGGAGTCTAGCTCCTGGACAGTCCAAAAAAATTTTTTTAAAGCACACGAAGAAATAAAGCAAGTTATTTGGAGTCAGAAACGGTGCTTTTTATCAAATAACTTGATACAGTAAGTGTGTATAGCTTATTGAGGACAGAACTCAGTTTTCTAGTTGCTATTTAACGGATATTTTTTTATTCTCAATGTCTGTAAAGATATCCCCCTTTCTTGCTCTAAATTCCCCCACACTTTACCCTGAAAGGGAGAAAACTCAGCTCCCTCTTGACTGGAGAGCAAACCCATATGGAGTTAGTGTTTGGCACCTCATCTGCGCCTACATGGCACTCTCCTTTGGGCAGGACATGTTTTTGAAAGTGCCAGACATCACTGTGAGCCACAAAGCAGAAAACGGGATTTTTCAAAGTGGGTTGGAAAAAGTTTTAGCATTTGTAATTCTTGACTCAAAGCCCTAAATTATAAACAAAATGGCTTAGGACATCAGGGGTGCTGAGCTTGGCCTTGGGGCATTACAGTTATCACATCCAAATAGAGAACACCTTCAATAGAGGAGTCAATGACCCTGAAGCCAGTGTCACACTTTCAGTCCCAGCACTAGGGAGACAGAGACAGGCCGATTTCTTTGAGTTTCAGGCCAGGCTGGTCTACAGATCTATCGAGTTCTAGGACAACCAGCTGTATGAAGAGGCTCTGTCTGCCCCCTCCCCTCCAAACAAAAAAAAAAAAAAAAAAAAACGACCTGTAGTTAGGACATATGTCAGTAGTTTCTATTCTAAGTTCCTGCATTGCAGAGGATGTACAAGGCTGGTAAAGAGAATTTTCAGAGTGGCAGGCAGAGTTTTGTTTGTTTGTTTGTAAGGTAGCAAATCAGTAAATCAGTATAGCGAACAGTATGCCGTGCACGAATCTGAAGGCACAAACTTGAGTCTTGAAGACTGGTATGGAGGTCTGCCTTTATGCTTGAAGCAGCAGCCACACAAGTCATCTCATTCACTACAAAGTGTCTTTCAGCAGACACTGGCTCAGATCTCCTCTCCACAGGAGCGTGTCTTCTTGGAGATTTCTTTTGTGAGTCTAGGAGAGACAAAACGTTAGGTCGTGGAGCCAGCCTCAGTATTAGCTGTTCCTTCCTGGACAGCACAATGTACACTGTTTGAACTCAGTCTGCTCTTGGTGGTATGCAGCAGCAGAATACTTCCCTCTAAAAGACACAGATAAAGTCTTTTGAGGACATCCCAAAATACAGTGAGGACTCTGTATGTAGGAGAGATAACATGGGAAAGCAAGGTAGAGAAGTTTGACCTTATAATTAGTGTGACTACCTTAAATGTTCTTGTCATGAACTGGACATAAGGTGGACTTAACTTACAACTGGGGAGATGTAAGGGGAAGAGCCTTGTGAATAGTCTATCAGCAAAAGACATTGTCTGGTCATCTGGCCATGCAATTTCGGACCACTCTTGCCTTTATGGAGTTACTTTGACCACGGTAAAAAGTTTCTTTCCCTTTCAAGGTATGGTTTAAGAACCGAAGAGCTAAGTGCCGCCAACAACAGCAGCAACAACAGAATGGAGGTCAAAATAAAGTGAGACCTGCCAAAAAGAAGACCTCTCCAGCACGGGAAGTGAGTTCAGAGAGTGGAACAAGTGGCCAGTTCACTCCCCCCTCTAGTACCTCAGTCCCAACCATTGCCAGCAGCAGCGCTCCTGTGTCTATCTGGAGCCCAGCTTCTATTTCCCCACTGTCAGATCCCTTGTCCACCTCCTCCTCCTGCATGCAGAGGTCCTATCCTATGACCTATACTCAGGCTTCAGGTTATAGTCAAGGATATGCTGGCTCAACTTCCTACTTTGGGGGCATGGACTGTGGATCTTATTTGACCCCTATGCATCACCAGCTTCCTGGACCGGGGGCCACACTCAGTCCCATGGGTACCAATGCAGTTACCAGCCATCTCAATCAGTCCCCAGCTTCTCTTTCCACCCAGGGATACGGAGCTTCAAGCTTGGGTTTTAACTCAACCACTGATTGCTTGGATTATAAGGACCAAACTGCCTCCTGGAAGCTTAACTTCAATGCTGACTGCTTGGATTATAAAGATCAGACATCCTCATGGAAATTCCAGGTTTTGTGAAGACCTGTAGAACCTATTTTTGTGGGTGATTTTTAAATATGCTGGGATGGACATTCCAGTTTTAGCCAGGCATTGGTTAAAAGAGTTAGGCAGGGTGATGCTCAGCTCCTCTGATCAAAGTTTCCAAGAGGCATAGAAGGAAAAATGAAAGGCCTTAGAGGGGCCTGCCAACCAGCAACCTGAAATGGACAAACCAATCTTAAGATTCTGTCATAGTTCTAGATCATTGGTTTTCTGATTTGCAAATGATTGATCAAATATTCTAGTCACATGCAACCAAACACCACTCAAAATAAAGATCAAACACAACTAAGTTGAGAGGTCATACTCTTCGAAGCAGAGGTGATCCGGTGTTTTAGCCAATCCTTGGTTGAATCTTAGGAATGGACAGTGCCCCAAGCTCATTAACGTTTCATGACCAACTGGTAGTTGGCACTGAAAAACTTTTCAGGGCTGTGTGAATTGTGCGACTGATTGTCCTAGATGCACTACTTTATTTAAAAAAAATAATGTTCATAAGGAGTCAATATGTAGTTTAAGAGACAATCAGTGTGTGTCTTATATAAATGGTACATCTGTGGTTTTTAATCTGTGCTAGACTTCAAAACTGTGATCTCCTGTTATTGTATGCAACCTTGAACTCCATCTATGCAGGGGTTCTTCTGTGATTAAATAGGTTATAATTATAAGCAAAATTCAGAGCAACTGAATACTTATGTGGAAAGATTAACTTTGGCTGGAGGTGAGCTGTCCTGCCGTCTCTGGTCAAGGATGGAGAAGAAGCAAAGGACCCTAACTCATCCATAATTTCTTGTTGGTAAGCCTGGCAGTGGAAACCCATTGGTCACTGCTCTGATCCTGGTGAATCTTAAACTGAGATCATTGTCATTTATGCTTGCAGATGTTAACTGGAAGTTATATATGCATAAACCCTTTCTTCCTGGATTTGGCAGATATGTATAATTATATTAAAATGGTTCTAGCACAACGCTGGGTCTAGTTTAATTTTATACCATTACTTGTAAATGGAAAGCCTATAGTCAGCCTCACTTTTCCCCACCACAAGTGATTTTATTCCTTATGTTTTTACCTTTTCTTTTGCTGATCTATAAAGGGCAGTGATTTGTAAAGTTCTGTGACTTCCTTCAGGATTGCTCCAAATTGAGTTACATTTCCCAGTCAGCTTTTATCAGCCTTTTCTTCCCTGCTCAAGCTTGACTCCATTATTAGGCACTTTGTTAGTATGTTTGGTTTTGTTTTTTAAGATTGATCAGGTGTGTGTATGTTTAGGGGAAAATGAGTATTTCAAAAAATGAGAATGGCAAGAATTTGATTCAGTTATCTCTGAGCTTTTTTTTTTCTTAAAAAGAAAGTTGAGGTAAACTTGAGAGGGAGTGTAATCAGAATCTGAAAGCAATTCATGCAGAAATGATTTCTGAACAAAAGAGTTTCAGAAAACTTTAAAAACCTATAATTTCAGTAGTTGAAATAAGGCATCCTGATGAGTGCTGTGTGTCTGTGTGTGTGTTTTGAGGAAAGGAGAGTCTTGGTTGTAGGACTTACTAGAAAAGACAAATGGCCAATGCTTATGGTGCTCCTCGGGTAAAAACTATTTAATTTCATCTTAAATTTCTTATGTTCTTAAATTTGACCAAATTCAATGACTCTTGATTGTAACTCTGTAAATGAAGATTAGCAGTTGCAACCATTTTGTTTTCTAATGAGTAAAGTTGTTTCACTGCTAAATAAAACTCAATGCTTTACAGCTATCACCAAGTACAGAGCTCGATGGCTGTATCTCCCTGGACCTGAAGCGGACTCATCGTCTGTAGTCTTCTCTGAAGTGACATGGGGGCCCCAGGGTCTTTAGCTTTTCCCAGATCTAATTTTTTTAGTCCTGCCTTTTTTTTTTTTTTTTTTTTTTTTTACTGTGCAATAGTTAAATAACTCCTAAATAACCTGTTTCTCACACTACCTTTGATTTTCAGGGAACCTTAGCAAGGACAGAGCCGGTACCTTAAAAAACAAGAGTATTTGACAACTTTAGGGCTACTCAGCAAATGACTTGGTTTCTTCAGGGTCTGAAAACGAAGTTAAAGGAGGTCTCTAAGACCAATTTTTTTTTTCACTTTTGCACAACTTCGTTTAACTGAAACCACACAGTTCAATTGCTTTGAATGGATGCCCAAAGTAGAAAGGATTTCCTACCATCAAAGGCAAAGAGGAGGGGGTGGGAAGCTAGCATTGGCTTAAAAGACATGCAGAGTTCTGATCGCCACTACTAATCAAGATTGGATTTGATGAAGTTTAAAAGTCCCATACTGCCTGATATTTGGTACTGAAATGACTCGTCTCCAAACGAGTCTTGGAGATGTTTAACCGGAAGCGAGCCTGCAATATAATCTTCGTTTGGGAGGGCAGAGGTGAGGTGTGGGGATTTCACCGTGGGAGTGTTCCCTTCATATATCTGAAGAGAAATTCAATCAAACCAAGTAAGTTCTGGTTTTCGAAACCTCCAGGTTTAGTTTAGTTTTCTCAACTCCCAGTTCGGTTAATTTCATTTGTGTGTGCCAGTACCTATCTGCCTCTACACTCAAATACCCAGAAAGAACAGCTGCAGAGGCCGGACGCAACTTTGAGAAAAGAGCCTGGTTGGTCAAGGTAGCCCAAGAAAGGCCTCAGACCCTCTTTTCTTCACGGCTGCCCTTCCTAGCAACTATCTTGCTAGGAAAGTGGTCCCAGCCGTGTCCCGGGATTGGGAGCTGTGGCAGAGCTGCAGGCGGTTGTGCAGTCAGTGCCTCCTGGACGCTGCCAGTGGAGATGCAGGCCCTGACCTAGCCTGGTGGCTCTTTTTAGTAGGGCTCGGTTCTAGCATGTCCCTTCCGCCCTGTCCCCTGACCTGGAGCCATCGTAGTCAGGGCCGAGTGCCACCCTGCCCTGCCACGGCCGCAGCCACTGAGCCCGAGTGAGGGTGGGTATCGTTCGGACATTTCAGGCTCAGAGAGTCCAGGGGTCAAGTCAATTTCGGGGTTTAGAAAGCGAGTTGGGAGGCAAGCTTCCTGCGTCCCAGCGGCCTGAAGCACCCCAGAGGCCGGCGAGCCGCATGCATCCGACCAGTGCTGAGAAAGCAGACCTGGAGGAGACGGCTGGCTTTGCTGGGTTCTGGGGGGTGCGCCGCAGGCGGCTTGGGAGGGGACAGCTGCTCCCGGAAGCTTGGGGAAGCGGGTCACTCAGCTTGAGGGCTCCTAATGCTCCTCGAACCGGGGCGCCCAGCTGGGCCTGCCCTTGGGTACTTTCAAGGACAGCCAGGTGCTTAGGTAGTGACTTCACCGAGTCGGGTCCTCTGCTGGGAGCCGGATACTGACTCGGAGCAACCCACTGGCACTCATCAGCCTCGTTTATCCCCTTTCTGCCACCACACCCCACACCCTGCATTTCGTTTCCCCACGAGTCTGGTTTTGGTTTGGATCCGGTGCAGCAGCCCAGAAGGTGAGCAAGTTCTGGAATGGAGAAACGGCTCCTTTTGGTGTCCAGAGTGTCGCCTGGTTGCCAAATCATCCCTTTCCAGTACCTGCAGTGCAGAGGCCTCACATAAGTGCGAGTCTCCATTTAATCAGAAGCCGCCAGACATCACAACACAAGTTCGAAGCCGAGAGCCTCACGCCTGGTGAGAAACTCGCTATTGTTATTAAGACGACGCTGTAACCCAAAACCGGGTATGCTGATGTTAGGTGGGGTCCCTTGCATGCAGAGTTGTGTCTTAATCATGCAAAAGACTACACAAAGAAGCCGGGCAGGTAACCGACTCATCCCATACCGTCAGAAGCAAACAGGACGGGAAGGCGCTATGATCTATTTATTGGTCCATGGCCTGTGTCTGAATTTTTGCCTTCCTCTTCAACCATTAGGAAGGACAACAACCCCCTTTGTGCTCATATCAAGGCATCTGCATACTCATATCTGCAAGCAGGGCTCTGGACACCCGTGCTTTTCTTTTGTAATTCTCCCTCACCCTGTCAGAGCAGGTTGCACTGATAAACCTAATTATCCCCCAAAAACAGTATTTCTGCCCTTGGGTTAGCGGAACAAAAAAAGACCAAAGACGGTCTACTCCTGCAAGGGGGAGAGCAAAATCCCTAAGGGGAGCTACCCCGATATTTTGGGGGAATTGGCCGTACAACTACACGTATTATAGGGTTTGTCTCAGAATTAACATTACACGTGAAGCTGTAGTAGACCAGTGTGTTGAGAGACGTTGTGTGGTATTGCTTGGAGCTTCTCTTTCCAACTGCTTGCTAATAGTAATGTGACTTGGAGTAGTGTTTTTAAAAATTGTTTTATGCTCAATTCGAGCAGGGTGCATACACTATTTGGAAAAGGTGGTTTTTCTGATGGAAGTGCTTAGAAGGAAACGGAAGCTAGAAACTTGTGTATGGGGAAATGGTTGGAGAGGAGGAAGCAGGTAATGCATTTGAAAGGCCTTCTACTATGCAACAGTCCTCGTAACCAAAGGAGGTCCCTCCCAAATGCTAAAGAGAAGCAGCCAGACTTCCCCTCCTGCCAGCACTATGTTTTATGTTTAAAAACCAACCCGCTGTTGACTGCAAACAAACAATAAGCAGATTCAAATAAAGGAGCCCCACCAGGTCCAATCCATTTAGTCAAAGACGACTGTGGGTGCCAGGGCAGCCACACCATCATCAGGGAAGGATATCTTCAAAATTTGTTTTTCTCCTAGAGGGAAAGTCTAACAGCATGAGGTCTAGGACTTATTTTTATTCCTCAACCTCCTCCACCCTTTACCTCTGATTCTTAGTGGAAACAGTATTTTGAAGAAAACAAATAAACAAGTCGAATAAAAAAGAATCCCATAGCAAACATACTGGTAAGCTGGTGAGGTTTGAATTGACCTATGTTGGTTCCAGGAGGGAAAAGGATGTTCCAAAATCAGGCGGAATCTCCTGCCACCCTCCCTCTACTGTCATAGTCTTATTTAACTTGCCTACTTGCAAGGATGGGAAAGGCAATTTCCTGTTAAGGATTTCTTAGTCTGCTTGATATCCCTCAGAGCCATTTCCAGCCTAAGGGCTTCCTTAAAAACTAGGTGCCCATTCCTACCAGGCATTTGGTTGCTGGTTACTTCCCACATCCCCCCACCACCTTGGACAGCTAGTGAAGGAACCAACTTGGGAAATACTGTCTATGAGCCTTTGTTCCCACGTTTTCAAGTCAAGGCAAGAGGGTAGGTACTTAGAGACCTAAGTATTCAATTCAGTGAACACCCTCCTTTAGGCCCAGACCCAATCTCACAACGTTAACCTCCAGAAGCCTTAGACCTCATTATAACCAGAAGATCAAAATTCAGAGTTATTAAAATGTTTCCAGAAACCACCAGTCATATTTTAGGATCATGAACTATTAATAAAAATCTCCTTAACATTCAAATGGCTGTAAAAACGTGTTGATAGCGGATTACTGGGGTCTAATGGGTGTTATGTGATAACATGGTCCCCAATAGTGAGGTTGGGGAATGGGTGTCTGACCACAGCTACTCCATTATCAGCTTACAGCTAAAGCTTTTTTTTTTTTTTTTTTTTTTTTTTTTACTTTCAATGCTCTTAGGAAAAGGCATTGTTCCCAGCAAAGCCTGGAACTTATGTTCATCATTTAACCTCTGAACAACTGAGTACTGCTCTGGAAAGAGGAAGAGAAAAACTTGACTGTGGGCATAAGGTCACCTTCAGATATAAGGAGGTGACTTCCGAGCCACTGTCCCTCCCTTCCCTGGTCTTTTTGTTTTAATGTGTAACACTTCCTGAATCTGCTTGTCATCCTTGCCCTGGGGCCATGCTAATCTCTGTGTAGTTCCAATTTTAGTATATGTGCTGCCAAAGCGAGCGAGCACCCTATCCCTGCTTTTAATGGGGCTCTCCCTGAAAAGCTGTGGTTTTGGAAGTTCCAGGCCCTTGCTGGGCAGCAGGTAATACCAGGCAGTGAGTGTCCAAGATCCCCAGGGCTCTTCAGAGGGCTGAGGAGGCTCTCTGAACACTGCTGAGAGCATCAGTGACCTGATGGAAGAGTCTCCAAGGAGTGGGTTTGAGGAATATCTGGCAAAAACACCGCTTTTCTTTTCTCGACCCCCACCTTTCACTCAACAAGCACAGAAAGCTAGGTCACCTCTGGCTGCAAAGTGCATGCTTTAAATCTCCTGGGGATGGCCCCTTCCCCTGCGAACGGTGCTCAGGTCATTTGGAGGGTGTAGAGACCTTACCCGGAGAGAGAATACTTTAGTGTCTGAGGGGCAGTTTTCTAGTCAGTTGTTTGGGACACTGAAAGTATGACCCACCGAACCAGAGTTGGCACCTCTGAGAAAAGGACCTCGAAACGCTGGCTACCCAAATCCCTCTGGCTGCTGCACATGGTCCCGCTGCCAGCACCCCAGCGGGGTGGACATTCGTGCTGTCCCGACAGAGTAGAGTCGGAGATGCTGCTCTTCCAGGGAGTCCCAGAGAACCAGGGACCAGGATGATCCGAGGGCATTGGCATGGGGGTGACAGTCGGATGTGGCCATCTCATCCTCCCACTTGGGCCCTGACCCTTCGCACACACAGCCCCAGGCCGGTTGGCTAAGGCCAGGTTTCCTCCCTCGGCTCCCCGCCGTGAACAGATGTAGGAGCTGGGTTTCAGGGCTCCAGGCCTCCCAGTGTTCCAAGGAGGGGGAAGATAGTCAGAGACTGTCCTTAGTCCTTGAGGAAGTGCTTCCAGCCCAGCACTGCTGACGGTGGCTTCCGGTTCCAGCTCAGACGCCTTACCAGCTGGTGTATGGAGAGACCTGATATTCAGTGCCAGGACCCATTTAGACGGCTGGTTTAACGAATTGGCCTAAAATGAAATTTGAGTTACTATTTGAACAACACCTGATGCATACACAGGCCCATTGCTTTTCCACTGATAATCCAAGTACATTTGGTCACCTTTGAATTCTTTTTGGTTCCAGAGTTCCAAAAATTTTTATTGTTTAGTAGAAGGAAAATTTTAATATGGGACAGAGATATTTGGGCAACAATGTGATATGTTAGGTGTTTGTGTTCATAAAAACATTTCAGCTGAGGCTGTAGCTCAGTTGTAGAACATCTGTCTTGCATCCATGAAATCCTAGAGGTTCAATTCCCAGTACTGCCGGGAAAAATAAGAAAAAAGAAAGATAGTTTAAAAGTAAAGTCTAGGGGCTTTAGAGATGGCCCAGTGTTTAAAAGCACTGGCTGCTCTTCCAGTTGAACCTGGGTTCAATTCCCAGCACCCACATGACAGCCCACAACTCCAGTTCCAGTAGATCTGACACTTTCACACATGAAGATAATGGAAACTGTAAGCGAGCCCCCTCAATTAAATGTTTTCACTTGTAAGAGTTGCTGTGGTAATGGTGTCTCTTCACAGCAATAAAAACCTAAGTCAGATTTAAACAGGAGTGAATTTTGTTAGTATTTCCAAATAAAATGTAAAGTAGAAAATTTGGGCTGGGGTGTAGCACAGTGGTAGAGCACTTGCAAAGTTCTATGTACAATCTGCTACAACCACACACACACACACACACACACATACACACACACACACACACACACACACACACAGAGTATTTTCATTTGACCATAAAGTCTGATTAAACAAAATAACCAAATAATAGTCTCTTGTCTCTATTCCTCTACCCATCTCTTTCCCTCTTCCCTTCCTCAAACTTAGTAGCCATTCCTCAGTTCCTTATTTTTCATTTGTTTGTTAATTTAGTTTTCTTGAGACTTCTTAAGACAGTATCTCTCAGTGTATCCTTGCCTGGCTTATGATTTACCGGGATGGAAATTAGTATGATTCTTCTGCCTTGTCTTCTTAAACATTAGGATTAGAGACATGCTTTGCTATGCCCAGCTCTGTTGAAAGTTTATTTCATTTAAAGCCTGATGTTTGTTACTTTAGACAAAGCGATAGGTAAAGGATGTGAGTCAGGAAGAAGATATGGCTATACCATTGGAATGAGAGAGATCCAAGATGAGATGGGGACCCAGGGTGGAATTAAACACTCACAGGCCAGATGTTCTTAATCTATACACCTTGCCTGTTTTTCCAGACCCTAACTCCCTAGCTTACTGCTGTCCTTGTCTGACAGGCTATCTTCCATTAGTGCAAGAAGAAGTATAATCTGTAGGTTTATTTAGCATTTGATCCCTTTGCAGAGGTTTCCATTTAGAGTCAACTATTTCAGCCAAGATTTGGATCTGGTCCTAAAATAGTCTGAACCAGGTGACCTCAGGCAAGGAGACACAAGATACTAGCAATTTATTTCATATCAGCTCCCAAGCCATCATCAGATGATAGCAACCCTTGGACACTGTTAATCTCTGCTTGATTCAAGCTGGTGACTGGAAGGTCAAAGGCGAGGGCGTTATCTCTGAGAGACTCATGTGGCCTTCCATAGATTGCCAGTTAGACCAGCACAATTGAAGCGTCTTCTTCAGCAGTTACTTTAAAATTTTTGTATCCAAAGTCTTTGGTCTTTGTTGGACTAAAAGGTAGAAGGGCTTTATCGAATAAAATGCCCAAGAACTAAGATGTGGGAGTTTAGAATCCAATACAAATTTAAAAGGCTGCAAAGGTGATTGTATGTTCTCTACCCAATAAACTGAACAACATACCTGTAACTAGAAAAAGTATGTTGGTTTTTGCCTATATATATATATACACACACACACACACACACACACACACACACACACACACACACATATATATATAGTGTGTACACACACACATATATCTTAAAATGTAAAAAGCAAGTCTAGAACTAGAACTGTTTTTATTGCTTTGGAAATGGCTTAATGTTTGCAAGTGGCAGGCAGGGTCATTACAGACAGTCATAAACTAATTTGGCATCAGTCAGGGCTAAACAATGGGGAAGTGAGGGAAGCAATAAAAAATAAAATAAAGGCTGTTTTTGTCAATAAAAAATGCCCTGTGTGGTGGTGCCCAAAGGGAGAAGGCTAAGTGACCTATGGTGAGGCACTTTTCACATATGTAGAAGAATCTGCATCAGCTGAATATCCTATGGTTCCTGGCTTTAGTTTGCAAACCTAGAAACATACTTTCACTGTTCTGAAGGAATTTTCCTCCATCTCCTATCCCAATATCCTCATTAAATGGTTGTTTGATTCTGCTAGATTTCTCTAGAGTAGACTAATAGACTGAAAAAAATAATTGAGCTGGGCAGTGGTGGTACACACCTTTGATCTCAGCACTTGGGAGGCAGAGGCAGGCAGATCTCTGTGAGTCTGAGGCCAGCCTGGTCTACAGAGCAAGTTCCAGGACAGGCTCCAAAGTTACAGAGAAACCTTGCTTTAAAAAAAAAAAAAAAAAAAAAACCAACAACAAAAAACAAAGAAAAAAAATTGAAGTGGTCTCAAAATAATGAAGACATTTTTAATAATCTGCTTTAATTAAAAAAAATTAGTTTGTTTGGCAGGTGTATGGAGGTCAGAGAACAAGTTATAGAACTCATTTTCTCCCACTACATAGGTTTCCAGGATTGCACTCAAGTCTTGAGCCTTGGCCCCAAGCACCATACCTAATGAATCATCTTGTAATCTAATAAGTTTATTAAGTTCTATGTGTTGGTGGTGGTAAAAGCAAAAATGTTATTTTAGGTATTTTAGCAGTGAGTGGGCTTGGAGAAGATGAAATAGCAACACAATTTATGTAGGATTGCTGTTCCCAGCAACCAATGTCAGATAAAACATGGCGGCCTCCCACAGGGTCATTCCATCTTTCATGTATGGTCTCACTTTTTAAAAAATTAATTGATATTTGCAATTCACTGTCTGGTATCTTCTCCTCCAAAATGATACTGCAAATAAATACACACTGTAATTACTAATGAGGAAACAAAGATGGGCACATTGTATCTGGCTTTTAAAGATACAATTTAAAGTGGTGCATTTTAGAACACTGTGCAATCCTGTATGATTGTGTATGATTGTGGCAAAGTAGCACATGAAACAAATATTGAAATATTGCTGCTGTTGAAGACTGATCTTGTCTGCCATGTCTTGATAATACAAGCTTCAGACATTATAAAGAGAGTCACAGCATTTTTCTCAGTGAATAAAGGACAAGTCATTGTGGTGAGACTGTATCAGTGGTTCTCAACCCTTTCACAGGGTTGACAAGCCATTGTGGTGAGACTATATTAGTTCTCAACCCTTTCAGTTACCCTGTATATCAGACATTTACATGACAATGTATAATAGTAGCAAAATTACAGTTATAAAGTAGCAATGAATATAGCATATAACTTTTTTTTTTTTTTTTTAGACATGTTCTTTGCAGCCCTGGCTACCTGGAACTTGCTCCATAGATCAGGTTGGCCTGGAACTCACAGAGGTCCACCTGCCTTTGCCTCCTGAGTGCTGGGATTAAAAGCATGTGCCATCACTGCCTTGCCAACAAAATTAATTGTATATTCAGGGGTCACCACAACACGAGGAACTGTATTAAAGGATGGCAGGATTAGGAAGATTGCAAACCACTGGACTATATAGACTGTAATTCCAGGATTCTCATTCATACTGTGTCTGTTTATTCCACAAGAGATGGTTTGTGTAGAGTCCAGAAGAAAGGAGATGGGAGATAAGCCTCTCTTGGCCTACTGCAACATCTTCATCCAGATCAAGGAAGGGATGATGCTGATGATTTTTTTTTTTTAATAACATCTTACTATGTACCCCTGATTGGCCTGGAACTTAGTATGTAGACCAGGATGGCCCTAAACTCACAGGGCCGCATCTGCCTCAATCTCCTGTGATTAAAGGTATGTGCTATCAAATCTTGGCTCACATAGATCTTAAACTAGTGATTTCG